AGCAATACTGTAACATGAAAACACATGATATGATGTTTTAACTCCATGAAAGCACATAGTAGGCATAATATAAATAAGTAGTACTGCTTTTCCTTCTTGTAAAACAAACGGTGGCTCAGACGGCAAGAATCTGCCTACAATGCAGGAGACCTGGGTTTAATTCCTGAAGAAGGGAATGGTTACCCACTCCAGTATTCATGCCTGGAGAATTCCACGGACAGAGGAGCCTGGCGGACTACAGTACATAGGGTCGCAAAGTCAGACACAACTGAGCGACTAACAGTTTCACTTTCTATCATACAGCCCCCAGTGGCAGCTGTTGCCACAAGAGGGCACCATCAGCACAGCTGAAAAGCATGGCTGGTTGCTTTGCCTTCTCAGATTGAACCAGCTACCAGCTTCACCAGCTTTAAATCCGCTGTGTATGAACTCTGAAGAATGCCACCAACAGACAGGCCTATGGTGGTGATGAGATAGGTACCACCAAGTTTATTCACCAAGTTTATTACAGGCAGACTAGGAGAAGGAAGAATCTAGTTTGAGAACTTCCCTGGTTGTCCAGTGGATAAGAATATGCCTTGCAACAGAAGGGATGCAGGTTTGACCCCTGGTCCCGGAACTAACACCAGGGGGAGCAGTGAAGGGGAGGTGGGGGGCCTGGCAACTAAGCCCCAAGTACTGAAACTGCATACGCCAGAGTGTGGAATCCACAACTAGGGAGCCGTACATAAGGAAAGATCCCACATGATGCAACTAAGACCCAACACAGACAAATAAATCAGTTCAGTTCAGTTGCTCAGTCATGTCAAATAGACTCTTTGCAACCCCATGGACTACAGCACACCAGGCTTCCCTGGCCATCACCAACTCCCAGAGCTTACTCAAACTCATGTCCATTGAGTCGGTGATGCCATCCAACCACCTCATCCTCTGTCATCCACTTCTCCTACAACCTTCAATATTTCCCAGCAGCAGGGTCTTTTCAAATGAGTCAGGTTTTCACATCAGGTGGTCAAAGTATTGGAGCTTCAGCATCAATCCTTCCAGTGAATATTCAGGACTGATTTCCTTTAGGATGGACTAGTTGGATCTCCTTGCAGTTCAAGGGACTCTCAGGAGCCTTCTCCAACACCATAGTTCAAAAGCATCAATTCTTCGGCACTCAGCTTTCTTTCTAGTCCAACTCTCACATCCATACATGACCACTGGAAAAACCACAGCCTTGACTAGACGTACCTTTGTTGGCAAACTAATGTCTCTGCTTTTTAATATGCTGTCTAGGTTGGTCATAACTTTTCTTCCAGGGAATTTAATTTCATGGCTGCAGTCACCATCTGCAGTGATTTCAGAGGCCCCCAAAATAAAGTCTGTCACTATTTCCATTGTTTCCCCATCTATTTGCCATGAAGTGATGGGACCAGATGCCATGATATTAGTTTTCTGAATGCTGAGTTTTAAGCCAACATTTTCACTCTCCTCTTTCATCAAGAGGCTCTTTAGTTCTTCTTGGCTTTCTGCCATAACTGTGGTGTCATCTGCATATCTGAGGTTATTGATATTTCTCCCAGCAACCTTGATTCCAGCTTGTGCTTCATCCAGTTCAGCATTTCTCATGATATACTCTGCATACAAGTTAAATAAGCAGGTGACAATATACAGCCTTGACGTACTCCTTTCCCGATTTGGAACCAGTCTGTTGTTCCATGCCCAGTTCCAACTGATGCTTCTTGAACTAATTAACTAAAAACAAAACGACTCTCGTGTGGTGGTGAAGAGCAAAGACTGATCAGGATTGGAATGTGGGTTCTACAACTCCAGTGCACAGGTGTGCCTCCCTGAGCTTCATCTGTAGAACAAGGTTGTGCCAGGCGTCTACTAGAGGCTGGGTGCTGGTCCCAGTGAGCTCAGTCTTACTGCACAGATGGATGGATGGACAAGAAGATGTGTGTCCCTTCTTCTGCAGGGAAGAAGTCCTGAAGGGCCGTGGTTTCTGCTCACCTGCTGTGGATACGCAAAGGCCCCAATTCTGTGCTCTGCCTGTCTTGGCAGCACCTCTTCCACGCTGCTCCCCAGTAACTGATGGCCCTGTGAGTGGAAGCTGAGCAAGATGATAAACCAGCAGAGGAAGGGCTGCGTGAAAGAGCATATATCTCACAAATTAGAAAGAAAAAACTCTGAGAAGATATTAAAAGTTGATTACAACAAACGCCTTAGGGACGGTCTCTCAAAGCTGGATATTCAAGCTGGAAAAAAAAAATGGAGTTGGAAGTAGAACCATACACAAAAACTAACTAAAAATAGACCTAAGGTGTAAAATTATACAGCTCTTAGAAGAAAATATAGAGAAAAGGCTTCTTGACAATGGACTTGGCAATTATTTCTTGGATATGACAACAAAAGAACAGTCAACCTAAGTAAAAGTAGACAAATCACACTATATCAAAATTTAAAACTGTATGTCAAACGACACCAGTCAATAAGAATCAAAAGGCAACCTACAGAATGGGAGTAAATATCTGCAGATAATATATTTGATAAGGGGTTAAAATTCAGAATATTTTATAACTGCAGAATATCTCTACAATTCAAGAACCAAAAAAATCCAATTAAAAAAAAAATGGACTTGAACAGACATTTCTCCAAAGAAAGTATATTACCTGACCAACAAGCATATGAAAAAATGCTCACTAGTTGTTAGGAAAGTACAAATCGATATCATCTCACACTAAGCAGGATGGCTACCCATAAAACAGAAAATAACAAGTGTTGACAAGGATGTGAAATTGGAATCCTTGTGCACTACTGGTGGGAATGCAAAATGGCTCAGCCACAATGGAAAACAGTACAGCCACTCCTCAAAAAAATTTAAAATAGTATTACTATCTGACCTAGCAATTCCAAAGAAGAATCAAATGCATATTTGTACAGCCACTCCTATAGATTTTGTGTCTCATCCCCTGCCCCCAATTCATCTGTTAAAACCCCAATCCCTGACAAGATAGTATTTGCAGATGTGGTCTTTGGTAGGTAACTAAAATGAAGGTGGAACTCTCAAGATTAAGAGTGCTTTTAAGAAGAATCAAGATAACTTGATTCCTCTCTGCTCTCTCCCATGTGAGGCTATGAGAAGATGGACATCTGTAAACCAGGAAGCGGGCTCTTAGCAGCTGCCAGATCTGCTGGCATTTTGATCTTGGACATCCCAGCCTCAGAACTGTGAGAAATAAATGTTTGTTATTTGCCATCTATGGCCATTTGTTACAGCAACTCAAAGTGACAGCTTGGCATGTTTAGCAATTCTTATTCACAATAGCCACATGCTGGAAGAAACCAGTGTCCAGCAGTGGATGGACAGATATACAAAAGCTAGCATATACATACAATGGAAAATTATTCAGCCCGGGAAAGAAATTCTGACACATGCTATGACACGGATGACCCTCAAGGACATTATGTTAAGTGAAATAAGAGAGTCACAGAATGACAGGTACTGTAGGATTCATCCAGAGTAGTCAGATTCAGAGAGGCAGAAAGTAGAAGGTGAGTTGCCAGGGTCTAGGGGGCAGTGGGAAACGAGCTCTGTGATGGCTATGGACTTCAGTTTTACACGATGTAAAAGGTTCTGGAGCCTGGCTGCAGAACAGTGTGAATATACAGCATTATTCCTGAAGTGGACACTTCAAAAGCATTAAGACAGTAAATTTTACATTATGTACTTTGCCATAGTTCTTTTTTAATGCCTTTATGTACTTCTACCTGTTTTTGCCAGTACCAATAAATGCTTCTTGAATAGCATGTTTTGTATGGGGGTTATTTCCTAATAAAGTTATTCAGAGTCTTAAGCAACTGATTAAGGAGATGAAATGTTTTGAAGGCAATTTTTATATGCATTTCTTTCCTTTCAGTTTACCACAAGTACACCAAAGACACTAATATTTAGTCATACATGCTATTCATGCAAAGTACTGTAGAGCTGTAAAGGAGAACTGCTCCCAGGTCATCTTCTCCGCGCCGTACTCACATTCCTGGTTACCAAATATGTGTTTCTGCCCCGTACCAAGCCAATCTGCTACATGGGCGACATGAGCTACAATTCAGTTCTGACACTGAACTTGGAGTTAGCATCAGATCCTGCAGCAAAAGGTTGACTCCCACAAGACTATTCCTTCAACCCATTTCCAACACAAATCACAAATCCAGATTGCCACCTGTGCTTCTGACCAAACCGCTATAAATCACACTCTTCTTTGGTTCCATTAATTTGTGGGAGTGGCTCACAGAACTCAGAAAAACAGTTTACTTACTAAACTACTGGCTTATTACAAAAACGTGTAACTCAGGAACAGCAGATGCAAGAGACGCAGAGGGCAAGGAGTGTGGGGCGCGGTGCCGAGCTTGCGCACTGTTCCAGGAGCACCACCCTCCCAACACCTAAGCACGCTCAGTAACTTGGAAGCTGTCCAGATCCATAGTTCATGGACTTTTATGTAGGCTTCATTGACATGACTGAGTAGATCAACGGCCACAGATTTAACCTCCCGCTCCTCTTCCCTGAACTCTCTTCTCTTGGAGAGAGCAGATGTATGGAGGCTGAAAGTTCCAACAGGAAGCTCTCAGTCGGTTACCCTGGCAACCTGCTCCCAGCCTGAGGGAGTTTCCAAAAGCCATCTCATTAACATACCTTAGGAATGGTTGAAAGATGCTAACAAAGACACCCTTTTCACCTTTATGGCTCTGGAGCTATTTCATGAACTGGAAACAAAACTACATACTCTAATAAAAGATTTCCCTGTAGCTCTTATATAGAAAATTACACGGGTTTTAGGAGCTGTGTGCCAGGAATAAGAACAAAGACCAAATACATATTTCTTATTATAAATCATAATATCACATTGACAAACAGTATTTTCTCTATTAACTGGGATGCCATCCTCTTAAATTCAAGCAGACTTACAGCTCTTGACCGTCTCTGCAGGCACATAGAAAGAAATTTTAATACATGGGTTGAAGAAAAAGTATTTATTTGACACCTTTACAAAAATATTTAGGCACATAATTTTCATATTTTTGTCACCTGATTTATATATCTCAATCCTCAGTACCTTTTAAAAACACTAAAATGGTCATTTGGTAAATAGAATCTATATTGAAAAAATATTGTGACAGGCCAACATTTGTAGACAAAAATCAGTTGATTATCACCATGAGAAAGAAATGCTTATGAACAAAATAATCTCTAAAAACATCTTTGTGAGACAAAGAAAATCTAACCAGTAGATTTCTTTTTAAAAAGTATCTTCAAAAAAGGAAGTTTAAAAAAAAACCCATCATAAAATATCTCCTCATATCATGATGAAGTAGCATCCTAACAGTAAGAACTAGAAGGTAGGCTTAGAAAACAGCGATGGTGCCAGAGGTTCACAGATGCCAACAACTGACAAGAGCCTGGACGCAGAGGCAGCATGAAGCCAATGCCTTTAATTCAGAGATGAGAAGAAATAAAGTCCAACCTACACAGGAGCTACCTTAAGGTAGCAAACTGGGGCAGTTTTAACACAATCACCATTCTGAAGTGTAATTATTTTTCTCTGAGATAGATACTAAAATTTTTTTTAAATTTACCAAAATATGAGAGTCATTTCTCTTTTCTTTTTTAAAGAATAGAATCTTTTGTAAAGGTAGAATCACCTGCATCATACAATAGCCCAACTATACCCACTAGATATTTTAAAAAGTTGACCGTGAGCAGAAACTCTTCTTTAACCATTCTAGAAGCAACCAAATTACAGGGTCACATTCAAAAAGAAATACATTGCCCAGGCCTCTAGCATTTAAGGAGCACAAATTAAGACTCTTAATCTTGGCCTACAGTCTAACCCTGAAATCGTGACAGTAACATTTGCTGAGTGCCTAATATGCACAAGGCATTGTGCTGAGGAGTTTGCATCCCTTATCTTATTTATTTTGAAGATTATTATTTTTCCCTCAGGGAGAGAAAAATCACTTACAGCCTTGTTCATAGGGAGGAACCAGTAGTACATAGCTATGTGGAAGCAAGAATACATGCAGGAGGGAGCAGAGGGACCTGGGTAGTCACAGAATTCAAATGGCCTGGCTCTCATCTCAGAGCTGGAGGACTAGTATAAGTCCTCTTAGATTAAAAAAGTGCTTCAGTCAACTCCATGGGTGGGACACCCCTAATCACCAGTGCTGAAACTGTGCAGACAGCTTCTACTCATAAATCGCTGATTCCTTTCATCTGCTTCTTTCTCTCAATCAGGATTTGGCTAAAGAATTATTCATTCCTTATGAGAATGAGAATGAGAACCATGTCCTCTTCACCTGAGCTGCTGCAGAGCTTCGCATAATGCCTGGCATAAGATAGTCAATTTTTGCTTACTGAAAGATGCCATAACAACCAAAATAAAGGGAGGCCTGCCCAAAATCCTGGGTACTACTCCAAAGTAGTCAAAAGTGAAACTCGACTCTTCTCTCCATGAAGATCCTATATCAGCGTTACGGCTGTGAACTTTTCATGCATGGCTGATAGAATAAGAACTACAAACAACAAATGCAAAACGTACTTCTCTTTCTTAACCTACATGCAAGCTGGATCCTACAAATGACTGACCCCTAAAGTCAACAGTCACATAAAGGAATTAAAAATCACCTGACATGCTGGCAACGTGTAGCCTGACCAATCAGATTATTCAAATCAATCTGGCACTGCCTTAAAAACAGACTGGTCAAAGAGGGCATTGCTGTCATTAACTCAAAAAAAGGAGCCACTAGTCACAAATGTGTTTTCAACTTCCTCACCACAGCTCATCTGTCTCCAAAGGCAAATTCAGGATTTAATTATATACTGCCTCTTTTTCTCCCAGGAAGTAGTTTAGTTAACAGATATAAGAACTTTTGCCTTGTAAGACGCTGGAATACCAGGTACATCTCTTCATGTGTCATAACCAAGCCTGCACATAACTGAAAAGAAACTACAAAAATGGTGGGTCAGTCTATTGAATCTCCAACTTCCCCAGGCTTCTTGCTCTTAAGATGTTGGTGGCAGGTGAAGGGGAATCCAACAACCAACATGAACAGGGCAGAAAGCCTGAAGCTGCTCTACTGCTTCTGATCAGTCAGAAAGCTTAGTATAGGCCACAGGCCCTAAGGTCATGTGCATCTAGTGAAGTTATAACTAAGCACGATTTTCTCAAATAAGAACTGGAGACACTTCTTCAAGGAAACTGACTCTCCAAGAGGCAGTTCAACACTTCGTGAGGTGGGGGGACAGGGTGGGGGGGGGTCTTGTGTGCACCTCTAAATGCACACAAACTATTTCTAATGTCAAAGTTCCCTCCTCCCAGTAGCTCAAAGAAGAAGGAACAGAACTACCATAATTAGCTCCAAAAATGCCCTTCCTTTGTCCCCGGGCAAAAGTGGGCAGGGGCAGCAAAATTCATAGGCAGAAGTGCGTATCATCCATGGCCAGCCTGGAGTAAGACAGAAGCTCACGCACGCAGAGTGCCCATCACCTTCCCTGATGCACAAAGCCTATTCCTTGCTGATTCTAAATTCCATCAATCACTCACCTCCTCAAAAGAGCTCAGGCTAGCTCAGCTGACACCCCTACTTCCTCACTTCCTCAGAGGAGAAGCGGGGGTTATCAATGGCAGCACAGTTCAGTGGAAAAAAACAGGAATTCTGACTTATTAGCGAGTCATCTTTCTCTGAGTCTTGCTTTCTTATCGATAAAACAGGGATACAATGACATCTTGCACAAGATAATATCCTATTCTCCCACTTAAATTTTCTCAGCTCACATAATATTAGGGGACAGTGAGTCTCAGGACCCCTACATGGACTTACTAACTTGAGAGTTGGCTATGAGGCTAATTCTAGGGGCCCAGCACCACTGGCTAGGCTTTGACAAACCAAAAATAAGGGAAAGATAGGAATATGAAAAGGACCTCAAAATAACTCTTTTTCAAAAATAGGAAGAAATCAAAACCATCCAGGTTCCCTGTTGAGACACCAGAATACTAGCTGTTTAGGTCAACAAAGGCCAGCAGATTGCAAACCTAATGAAATGAAAGCCAGCATGTACACCAATGCAAAGGTAGCCAGCTTCCTGCACACGGACTGCACAGCTGGCCTGAGCAAGCGTTTATCTCCAAAGTCAGTGGATGCCTCTAAGCCAAGTCACACTGCTGTGTCTGAGTTAACACCCGACCTGCCCAAAGACGCAATTCAGGCGAGACCCATCCACGGCTGCTCTCCCAGGATGCAGCACTGACCCTGAGAGAAGCGGGCCTGCTCATTAACGTGGGATGTGGTGGGAGTGTCCAAAGGAAAGAGGTATGCTCAAGTGATTGAAGGAAGAGGAGGGAAGGTGATGGCTCTAACGCTGACAGTGCCAGCAACACAGTCCAAGCCCCGACCATACAGAAACATCTTACCAGCCTTTCCCCTCAAATCATACATTCAGAAATGTAAGACTAGTCATAATGATTCAAGCAGGAGTAAAAAGAGTAACAACCAAACCCAGAGGCGGGAAGCAAGGGGAAAGAGATGGAGGTCATGTTCCCCACGCCACTGTTACCTGGGTAAGAACAGCTGAGCTCATGGTTTATGATGGCAGGGTTCACATGCCATCATTTGATGTACCCTGCAGCATTTGGTTTCACATTGCTGTGGAGTTGGTGCTTCGAACCCCGCATACAGATTTGCAGTTTCTGAGAGCTGAGAAAAACCTCTAAGACTTGTTCACAGTCACGACATCTTCTGAATAAGTCCATGGAGCTAAGTTCTCAGTCTTACCCTTGGTCACTATAGCAGGAGCGAGATCAAGCAACTACCTCCAAGAACATCTCTCCACCCTCAGCACTCAGCACAATGCCTGGCACGTATTACATGCATGATACATTTTAGCTGAATGAATGACTCTGACAGATGAATAAAATGAGTTAAAGGTCTACTTCCTTCACCCCTTCATTTTCCTCATCCTACACAACATAGAGGGAATAGAATATTTTCAAGGAACGCACCTTGCTCACCCCATGAGCTCTCAGGAAAGCCAATGTAGAAACCAATACATTTTGAAGCCACATACATTTCTTTAGTGCCAAAGATGTTCTCTTTGGCCAAAGCAGTGATGATAGCCTCATGAAGAAAAGGCAATCGTTAGGAAAGAAAATTCAAAGAGTAACTTCAGATCCTCAGCTGCATTTCCAGCAGAAGCAAGGCCAAACCGCCTCCAGACTCAGCAACGACATGAACAGTGAGGCTCCTGACGGAACACTTTAGATACGTGGCTCTCAGGGACACCTGGATATTAAACTATGGAATAAAATATTTTCAAAACGTGGATGTTTCACTGTCGGCATAAAAGAAAAATAAATTAAAAAGCCAAGTACATTTTCCAGTCTGATATAAATTAATTCTAATGGCATATTTAAAAGAGTCAATTATAACTGTCTCTCATAAAATTTTAAAAGGCAGCAATCAATCCTCAGATTGTACAAGTGCAAAGGAATGGTATTTTCTCCATGATCAAAACACCTCAGTATCTGTGTAAGAACTCCCAGTGTTCCCATCTGATCGAAAACTTGGGCCAATGCAGTTGATGCAACCCTTGTCATACTGCTCCTTTCCCCTTAACGTCCAGCTTGCTACTGGCCTCTGATTGTTTGCTCAGCTGCTCTTCAGAGAAGGTGATGTAGGAATACACCAGGCTCCCAGCAATGCTGCAAAACAGAAAACCACCATCAGGGAGGAAGGAAGGAATGGCAAACAGAAGGCAACCGGAGTGAGGGCTGGAGCTACCTTTCCAAATCCCCACCAAGTAAAATGAAAACATACAGCATTTTCATTTACCAAACTAGAGACATTCCCTCATCATGGTACTATCCACTGTCGTTGATGCTTTGGAAAAACAAATGTTTGCATGTACTTGTCAGCAGGAGGGCCAATTTTATACAGTCTTTCTTCATGACAATTTGTTGAAATAAAAACCTCAGAATTCTGCTTATCCTCTGACCTAGCAATCTATTTCATGGATGTACTGTATACATCTTCATAGACTTATTGACAAAGCATTTATCACAAAATCTTTAACTGCAGAAAATTAGCTGAAGGATAAGTGTCTCATAAGAGTATTATATAAATTCATACAATAGAATATAAGGCATTCATTCAAATGACAGAAAATAAAGAGCTGGCCATGACCTTTAAAATGAAAAAATAGTTTAGCATTCTCCAACCCCATTTTATTTAAATGAACATGAATATGTACATTAATGCATCAGAATAAAGTCTGGAAGGGACAAAATAAGAATATTAATGATAGCCGTCAAGAAAGGGCAGAGTGAAAACACCGCTTTTGGGTGAAGCGGCAGCATGTTGTGTTGTTTTGCTTCAATCGGTGGTGTGACAAGGTGAAGAAAAAAAAAGAAAAAAAAAGAATATTAATGATAGTTACATCTAGACTGAGATTATAGGTGATTTCTACTTGTATTTTCTACATTTTCAAAAATAATCACTCGAGACAGAAATACTTTTTAATAAGAAAAAAACATCCCAATTAAGTAAGAAAACAGGCTTCATAGGTGGCGCAATGGGAGGAATCCGCCTTCTCAAAGCAGATTGTCAAGGAATCTCCTGTCAATGCAGGAAATGCAAGAGAAGCAGGTTTGATCCCTGGGTCAGGAAGATACCCTGGAAATGGCAACCCACTCCAGCTGATCTTGCCTGGAAAATTCCACGGACAGAGGAGCCTGGCAGACTGCAGTCCACGGGGTTGCAAAGAGTCAGACATGACTGAGCACACATGCACACACACAAGAAACAAAACATGCAGACCCTGGGGAGACTCAGAGCTGGTTTCTTTCCAACCAGAATCAAATGAACAGTGGAGAATCTACATCGTCTGAGCCCTCGGCCTCTGAGCTGGCTGCTGCCACCCCTCACACGTGTCTACCACACCTTACCTCCAGGAGGGTTCACTCTTCTGGGACAGCGATTATTTTGGGGACCTCAAGCCCACCTGGGCTACACAGCCTCCTGAAAGCTCTTTTGAGGGAATGTATTCAAAGTTACCTATCATATGTGTGTTTAGGAATAAATGAACCTTCCCAACTAGATTACAAATTCCCTTAAGGTAAAAATTAGTCTATGCCTTTGCATACTAATCAGTTACCTCCTTAAGGAGACAGGAGAATAAAGACAAGCCATTGGTAAGACAGGAGGTAAGCAAAGAGACTGAAAATGTTCAAAACAAAGTGGAACTATTTTACTCACTTATCCCATGTGCTCTCACATGGCTAAATCATGCAGCAGATTTTTACAGTCAGATCAGGGTTAGAGTCTCAGCTCTGCTTCTTACTATGGTGGCTGTGTGACCTTGGGCAAGTTATTTCACCCCTCTGAGTCTCAATTTCGTTTTCATGTGAACTCGGGGATGATTAAATAAAACAATGTTGTAAAGGTGACTGTCATGGACTAGGCACTCAACAAATATTAACTCCCTATGTTGCCTTCACAGATATCTATCTATGTCCTTTCTATATCAAGGTAAGTGTCAGTCTGTGCACATACTTTATTTAGTTTTTATTGAAGTACAGTTGATTTACAATGTTATGGTAGTTTCTGGTGTACAGCAAAGTTATGCAATTTCATATATATACACATACACACGTTCTTTTTCATATTATTTTTGTTATGATTTACTACAGGACATTAAACATCGTTCCCTCATGTGTACATACTTTAAAAATAGAAGTACCTCAGTCACAAAAGTCTGACCAGGATGTTTGTTAACCATTCTATCTGCCGAGGAGTTTTAGGAATTTAGACAGGAGTAAATTTACAAAAAAATAAAAGGCTCCCAAATTTTGCTGTGATTTCCTTGGAACTCAATGGCACTGATAAGGATAGTATTTGTTTTATTACTTGATGTGAGTCAGGTAGATGCTCTCTTTTAAGATCAGAATTCTGATAAGACTGACTTCATGTACAATACAGTTTTGTTTTTTTTAAGGGCTCAACCAGAGAAAAGCTAAAGAAATAGAAGAATATGAAGCTAAAAACTTGCTTTCCACCTATTCTTACCATTTAATGTCAGTGTTTTTGGAAAGGGGGCATTTCTCTCACATATTTGGAAACAAGGTTTTAGGGGTTTTTTTGCTTTCCTGATATCTCTAATACTCTTCCCCAACTCGGGGCTGAATCCAAACTACTCAAGCATTTCCATCGTTTTCTCCCCTACTTAGACTCCTTTTTCTTTTCTGTCTCTTTAAACAAACAAAAAAACCTTAAGATGTAGGTAGAGGACTCCTGTCAGAACTTTTAAAAAGGTAATATATATGTTTCCCACACCTGGAAGAAGTTCCTTCAAATGTCATTAGTCTCCTGCAAAATAACTTTAGACCTCAAGACCAGGGTCAATCAGAGAAGTTTAGCGGCCAAACTAAAACGGACAACCCTAGCTTAAAAACTGAGCAAAAGAAAACTGAGGTTATGAAAAGTGAACTATACATAACTAGTGGCAGTACCCATAACAGAACACAAATCTGCTGCTATATTCCATTTCAGTGCTCTTCTGTAAGGAATTATATCGCAAAGGGCCAGCTAACCTCCCTACATCCCTTTAGAAGTCAAAGTTATTCCAGTGAGAAGTTAGTTATTTATCTCTATGAAAAGCCTGGTAACTGTTACAGTGGCAGCAACCCACTGATAATACCAACTGATAATACAAAACATGTCCTTCTCTCTCTCCAAATGAGAGAACCACTAAGAAGAGCTCATGTCCTTACTTCATGAGAAGCCTGGAACTCTGAGAGTCTGCTAGGATGGAATTATGCAGGAGAAGTCTGTAACCAGGAAGCAAAACCTCCCTTTAAGGAAACAGGTAAAGGAGTCCCAAATGCAGGAACAGGAGACTCAGGAGCCAGGCACAAGTGGCTAGACCAAAGTCCTCAGGACCCAGCTCTGGAGCCAGACTCTGAGCTGCATCACGGCCCACCCCAGAGACTGTATAGACTCTGGTTTGATGTCAGAAGGTACAGTAAAATGGGGTGTGTTACACAAAAGGAGGCTGACTTAAGAGTTTTGTAACCAGTGTGATGACATATACTGAAGGGATATGAAAATAAAATTAATTTATTCCTCTATTCACTTTTACTGGACTGCAGTTAAGTAAACTTGGAAGGCAATCATGGACTGACTATTTCACCAGCTGGATAATACATGGCAAGTTTCTCAGCCCCTCTATGAAATGAAATACTCACAGCACCTATCTCAGAGAATTGTTAAATTAAGTATGGCATACTTAAGGCAATGCCAAGGATAAGATTAAGCATAAAAAAAATCGTCTGATATCTGGTTGTTATTATTATTACTGGTTGGATGCCTGTTACAGACCAGGCACTGATTAAGTACTGACACAACTATAAATAAGTTAAGTGATTTCTGCCCTCAGAGAGCTGAGAATCTAAAGTGGCAATGGCTACATATGATTCACTTAGGCTATATTACAACTAATTAGTCATATACTGAATGATAATTCATTAAAGGGTGAGAACCTGAACTCTCGAGTTCAACCTACCAGGGTTGAAATCCTTCAACGACATGAGCTGTGTGACCTTGCCAGAGCTATGAGTGAATGCACCACATCTCTCTAGAAACAGGCCCAATGTATGTCTTCAGAATGCATTGGACTGAAACTTCCCAAGCTTCAGCCTCCTCATTTATGAAATAGCGATAATAAAAGAACTTCAGGGCTTCCCAGGTGATTCAATGGTAAAGAATCCACCTGCCAATGCAGGAGACACAGGTTCAACCTCTGATCTAGGAATTCCATAACAGAATACTACTCAGCAGTAAAAGGGAATTCCCCAACGGCTCTGCAGGTAAAGAATCTGCCTACAATGCAGGAGACACAGGAGACTCGGGTTCTATTCCTGGGTTGGGAAGATTCCCTGGAGAGGAAATGGCAACCCACTCCAGTATTCTTGGCTGGAAAACCCCACAGACAGAGGAGCCTGGCTGGCTACAGTTCAAAGCATCACAGAGTCAGACATGACTGAGCCACTAAGCATTAAGGGATCGACAGTCAGCAGCAGCAGGAAAAAGGTACCAACTACTGATACGTGCATACCACAGAATCTCAAATGCAACATGGAATCTCAAGCAATATGTTAAGTGAAAGAGGTCAGAGGAAGAGCTGCATAACATTTTGTATCACTATACAACATCTGGGACATCATATAGATACAAAACAGATCTTTGTAGGGGAGAGAGGTTCAATGAAAAAGGACACAGGGAGATGAGAGGTATTACACTTGTTTTATACCTTGAATGTAGCTGTATGCATTTATATAACTGTATGCATTTATCAAAACTCCCAAAACTGTACAGGAAATGAAGGGGATTTCACTGTATTTAAATCATGTTAATTTTTTTAAATAGAAGGAAAAAAAAGAATCACAGATAAAAATAAACTCCAAAAGTTCTATGAATTCTAGCCTAAGCAGTTATGGAGATGCTGCTGTCATTCTCTGGAAAGCCTGCATTACTTGGGCCAAAGCCACAGGCCAGCGCCCAACTTCTGGTGAAAGTACAGAAGCACACTCTAATTGTCACCACCCTTCACTATTCATTCCCCACTCGCTCTGCTGCTTCTTTGAGCTTGAGTGAACACGCAGTAATTGGCCACTGGAAAAAGGCACTTAGGGGAGTTGGAGACAGCCAGGCTCTTAACAGAGCCCTACTAGGGGACAGGAAAAAAAAAAAAAAATCAAATTGGAGCCTGAGAACCTACCAATACAAACCTCTTGCTTCCTAGAATTGAATCCTATCAGAAGGGACTATTTAAACTTTTTCTGAAACAGCAAAAAAAAAAAAACCCAAGCAGGATGAAGGTAAGCTAGATTCATCGGAGTATAATCAGAAAATTCTTTATTAGTGATTTCTTTCAAAGTGCAATCAGCCAAGGATGAACTCATACCATTTCCAATCAACTAAGTAGCCAATCTAAGTTTGGTTTTTCACATTAAAAAAAAAAGTAATGTTCGCAATCCATGAGTCCACTCACTAACTAGTGTAAGATGTAAAAAAACCCCAAACCATAATTTTTATTTTAAAGAGAAAAAGTCAAAGAAAAAAAAAGGCAACATATACTTTCCTTTACAGACACTGAAACGCAAGTTGTAATGGAAAGAAATGGTATTTGAAACACAAGGTCATCTGGACTATAATCCTAACTGCAAATAATTTGAATGCTGACTGGCAAATAAGTATACTACTTACTCTCCTTAACCCTGTAATGAAACAGAGATTAAAGAGATATGGCCTATAAAATTTATTATAATAAAATGTGATGGCAATTAGAAATTATTAAAAATACTACATAAGGGAAGAGTACCAATGACATCATTATCAACTAACCTTGCCAGCAAACGGTACTGTTTAACCAGAACTATAATCACTACTCAGCACAAAAAGAAACTTTCAAGACTTTAGATTTGACATATGTTGGGTTGACACATGAACCATTCCAAAATATTCAGGCAATAAAGTTTTTTTTTTTTTAAATAGCCTGCATGTGGGGAAAAACACTATTTCTTTATAAGATACTATAAGAGATTTAAATTGCAGATATCTGAAAATGCAAACAGCAGCTCTTACTTCATTTTAACCATCAAGTTCTTGTTTGAAGGAGACCAAAAAAAAAAAGGCATTTCTGAATCAGGCCCATAATGTATCATAAAGACTCTTTAATCCAGATTTTTAGAAATGAAGGAAGCTTAGGCTACATGCAAACTCAGAACTACTTCACCATGTTGATCCTTTCAGAGTTGGCCGTTCCTCACAACTATTAATGAAAGAAACTGATTATCTACTAAGCATAAATATGAAGCAATGAATCAGGTACTTCATTCATTGTATTATTTCATTCCAACAACTCTAAAGATATAGATTCTAATGGAAATATGTAAGAAAACTGAAGCTCAGAAAGAAACAACGCTTTCGAAATCACACAAGTGTTAAGTATCAGAACTGCAACTGTGAACGTGATCTGAGACTCAACTGCTCATCTTCCTTCCAGAACATGCAATCCTCAGGCATATTTATACATCCAAACTCCGACCAACATATCCAAACCCCACAAATAACAAATAATTTTTCCTCTAAAAAGACAAACAATAATAATGACAAATAAATGTCATGGAAGGGAAAATAAGGAATTATTATCTTATTAATAACATTAGTATTAATACACTGATTCATAAGAAAGGTGGAATAGGCATTTTCACTTGTTTACATTTAAAGATATAAGAGCTCAAGAGAAGTTATATAATTTATTGTAAATTAAAAAGATACTACCATTAAAGACCTTTATAGTTTTCAAAGTGGTTTTTTTTTTAATCACCAATCCATACAGAATTCATCAAACAAACATTAAGCAACGACCAGAACTCATTCTAGGAGCTTGGAAAGATGAGTGAACAATACAGGCAGAGATCTATACCCTCATGGAACTTACATTTTAGCAGGGGAGATAGAAAATGCATAGTATATATAAACATAAACAGAAATATAGAATAAGAGGGCCTCAGAGTATCAGAAGAGGAAGAGCAGGTTGCAATTTTAAATAAGGTGGTCAGGGTAAACTTCCATGAGTAGGTAACATTTGAGCAAAAATATATAGGCCTAAGGGAACCAGCCATTCTAGTACCTGGCAGTACAGTGTTCCAGGTAAAGAAAATATTCTGTCCAAACACCCTAAAGAGACAGCATGCCCTGTATTTGAAAAGAATACCAAGGAGGCCTGTGTAGATGAAATACAGTGAAGGAGAAGGGAAGCAAGGGCTGAAATTGAAGGGCAAGTGAGAGACAGACTTTGTTGGGCCTTATCAGGACACTGGGACATGGAGAGGGGAGTACAAAGAAGAGTGACATGTTCTGCCTTAGCTCTGACAAGGAATACACTGTCTACTCTTGAGAACTGACTAGGGCTGAGATGTGGGGATGAGCCAAATCAGAGATGCAAGTATAGAAGACTAGGCAATAATCCAGGCAAAAGATGTTGGTGGCTGACATAACGATGGAAGGAATGCAGACGGTGAAAAGTGGTCTTTTTTGGATGTATTCTGAAGGTAGAACCAACTGAATTTGCTAACACACTGGATGTTGGGTATAGGTTGAAGAGTTGAGGATAATTCCAAGGCATCTGAATTGAGAGGCTAGAAGGATGGAGTGTCGCCAGTTGAGATGTTCAGGCTGTGGGTGGAACAGACTTTGGAGGACATACAAGGAGTTCAGTTTTGGACATATCAGCTGGAGATGTCAAGTGAGCTAATTAGATGTACAAGTCCAAGTTCAGGATGGAGGTCTTTAAAATTTGAGGGTTTCAGAGCATATAAATAATATTTAAAATCATGAAATTCAAAATTCTCAAACTGAAAAAGCTCTCTCAGGCAAGTTACCCTCATCATTGTTAAAGATGAATGAAGTCTAAAGAAATGGAGTTATGTGTCCAAAGTAAGATGCATATAAAGCAATATAAAGAGAGCTGGTATTTAGCCTGGAATTTTCTTAAGAACACTGCACTGACATCTAGCACAATAAATAAAAGATTATTCTTTCAAGGCTAAACAAAAGGAGTTCAACTTCCAGAAAAAGACTCCCCCAAAACTGCATAAAATATGAAACCACTTTCTCCCTTTCTTAAAAAGCATTATCAAAAGGACATTAACTATATAATGTACTGTAGGAACTCCACAAATGTCTGTTTAATAACAAGTGAATGAACTTGCCATTAAATAGTCCAAGCTAACTGTGACTATTTGACAATCTAAATCCATCTGTCAAAGTGGTTACAGTTAAATATTTCTACTTACCTGATATTTAAGCCAATGAAGTTTGTCCAAGTGAAAATATAATCTCCACCAAAGACCATTCCAATATAAGTTATTAATATATTCTAAAAAGAAAAATGGCAAAACACTGTTACACAGATTTGAACTTTTTCAATATTCAAATAAAGTCTTCCACACAATGACCCAGACATATATCCTTAAATTACAAAAGCAAATAAACAGAAACTAACAAAAACCCAACGATCCTAAAATGAGTGTAGCATGAGCATGAACATCAACTAACAAACAATAACATCAGTCTCTTCCTGGTCTCTCTCCAGAAGCTATATGCTTTCACCAATACTGAGGAATACTAAAAAGATCATCAAACTTTCCCCTTTCTTGTCATACGGGCTGACATTACAAATCTAAATAAAGAATCACTGCTATCACCAGGGGTATTTCTACACATTTAGCCAAGTTCAAAAGGAATGTTTTTTTCCTCCCACAGAGGTAGCAGCTGACTTTGTGAGTGGAGAGTGAAGGAAAATCTGCTTACAGGCAAGTATCCTTCCCTTTTTTTTGAAAGGGAAAAAGGGGATGATGGAGAATTTACCAACTCAAAGACTATTTCTAGAGGACTCTTTGTTGGTATCTTAAAAAAACATAGGGGAAGTCATCTCAAAGCATTACACCTAAAATCACCTCTCCCAACCCCCTTAATCTCTCAGGTGTAAACATCTGCTTATCTCACTCCTTTTTCAGCTTCTGAGATCTTAGTTCCTCAACTAGGCCTCAAACTGGGCCCACAGCAGTGAAAACCTCTGACTCCTTTTTAATTATCCTCAGACCACAAAGATAAAATAAAAATTTCCAAAGTTTAAGCTCTTATTCAATTCCTCCCTAAGCTTTTTTTCCCATTCCTAAGTCACTGACTCCTTCTGTGCTATTACAACTGCCAAAACAGTAAATGTCACAAATATTTTTAGTACTTGGGCTCTCTTAGATTAGGCCTACAAAGCAGAAAGTAAAGTGCTATCGTGTTTTGAAAAGGCCAAAAATAAACCTCAAAATTATTCTTATAGTGGAGTAGTACCCTTTGAGAGAGCATTCAAAATTATGTCAGCCTCTTCCAGGTCTAAATATAGAGAAAGAAAGTCACTTTAGAGCAAATTTTCTTATTACTTGAGAGGAAAAAAAAAAAATACCATGTAACCATAAACAAGGCTGGTAGGCAACTTGGGAAAATGTGTTAAGAGGACCTCTCTTGGAATACAGAAATTCAGGGAAAAAGAGAGATTAGTTAGCATAAACTGCCCAAGGAATTTCAGAAAAGGAAAGAACAGAGAACCCAATCTTTTGCTCAATATCAGTCAGAAGTTAGAAAAACTATGTATTAAAGCATCCTAACCAAGATACTCTATCGGAAGACACACTCATGCCCCCAAAGCAGAACTCAGCAGGAGGCACAGAAGAGTCTGTGCTCGTAGCTCAGAACGAAGACTGAAATTCTGAGCCTTTAGTTTACCAGAGACTCAGCTAGAAACCCTGATGACTTCCATGCTCTACTTTAGAGATTCTGATTCAAAACATCTGAGGTGGGCCTAGGACCCTCCATGTTTAACAAGTTCTCCTAAGTAATTTTCCCACCACACTTAAGAGAAACAAGGAATGCTGACCCAAGGGTTTAGGGGGTTAGGATCTTCAAGCACAGAAGGCAGCTTAAAGCCTGCTGGGGAACAGTGACTGAGCTACACAGGTTGTAGCTGGGAGGCTAATGAAAGAAGCTCCACTCTGGCCCAACTCCAAACCAGCAAGAATATCAGGGTACTCCCATCTGTCTGAAGGTATAAGACATCCTTCAATACCATAGCAGCTGTGAGAAGCAACAGCAATATAAACCAGCTGACCCTTGTACAAAGCTGGGGTTGGGGGTGCAGTGAAAAATCTGAGAATAACTTATAGATGTGTGTGTGCGCATGTCAGTTGCTCAGTTGTGCCTGACTTTGCAACCACATGGACTGTAGCCCACCAGGTTCCTCTGTCCATGAGATTCTCCAGGCAAGAACACTGGAGTGGGTTACCATTTCCTTCTCTAGGGGATCGTCCCGACCCAAGGATCCAACCTGGGTCTCCAGCATTGCAGGCAGATTCTTTACCATCTGGAGGTACCAGGGAAGCCCAACTTATGGATGGCCCTCCTTATCTGAGATTGGGCATCTGTGGATTCAGCAACCACAGATGGTACAGTACTATAAAATTTACTACTGAAAAAATTCTGCATGTTAATACATTATTGACTGGGGGGTTTTTGCAGACACTAACGCCTATGGCTGGCAATTTGTTAAGTGAATACAGAAATGTCTCTGGTCAATAGTTTTTGGGTAACGAAACATATTAATATGTCTCTGGTCAATAATAATGGACCCTAGCAGTTGAAACCTGCTTTGTTCAAGGATTAACTGTAATCAGATACTCCAGTTTTTTTTCCCCTCCCTCTAGAGTTTAGAAGTAAAACTGTTCCCTTTGGACTAAGTTCATATGATTCTGTGGAGCGGAGGAAATATCAAAAGAAATGCACTGGACTTAATGCTGAGAGCACTACTGTGTTTGTACCCCACGCTGATGACAATGAAGAATGTACACTAAGAAATTCTAAGCAATTAGGTTTAGTTATTTGCTAAATAACTTTCCACACCATCCTTCTTCTTGGTTAAAAACAAGGCACCAACTGTCCTGTGTCTTGTGTTCCTGCTGTTTTTATTCTGAAGAGGCAAGCCAGCTACTTTGCTCTTGAAGCATTAACTTTACAAAACCCAAACAGGGCTGCACAGGTCATCTGGGGCTGAAATGGTCTCAGCCAGCTCTGGCCTTCAAATGCTTACCTCTAGCTTTCACAGAAGTCATACAGTTATTACAGCTTAATTTAGAATTCTATTCACACCAAACGCTTCAATTCTATGTTTGACATCACAGACCTCCTGAGGCTTTAACCCAAGTCCAGTTCTAAAATGAGGTCTGGCGTCTATGAACACAGCTCCATGGGGGGCGCACAGGGGAACACAGCAACCAGGAGGAACTCTCCGCTGCAGCCCCTTCCCTCACCACTGACAACCGAGGCGCCAGAAGTCAAGTCCCGAGGGGACCTGTACTGTTTCCTCCCAGGGATCAAGGACCTACCTCTCTCTATTGTGCTCTTTTAGAAAGCAAGCCTACCTCACTAATGCTTTTGGAATTCAGGGATGCTGCAGCCTCTTGGATCTTAAAGCACTAGAATCACAAATTCAGATGAGGGACACCTCAGGCTTCAAGCTGCTAACTGCAGCTCAATATTCAAGGCAGTGTGGCTCTCCTAGCTGAAGACAAATGAGCCTCCCTCAAATAAAATGGATCGGGAGGAAATGACATCACTGGTAATATCAGACACAGCTTTTAAAAGTGGGCCATTTAAGGCTTGGCTCACGCTTAGGAAAACTCCCTTGATTAGCTTCTGGCAGGCATCCTTCTTCTACGACACGGCCAGAGCTCAGCAAGGAAGAGAACAATTCTCGTCAGGAGTTAAAGGGACAAACCCACCAGTACCGAGCTGGTCACCTGCTCTGTCAGAAACAGGGCTGAATATCAGTCTCCTTCCTCCCCTCTGAGATGACGCATTCTCCTTTCCTCACACTCCTCAGACCTAAGCTGCCTGAAAGTGGAGATCATGTTCTCCCTGAGTTCTTCAGGATTGTTCTAGGAACCATCACCACACTTTGTCAAACTATCAAGGCAACACGTGAGGAAATAAGAATGAAAGGGTGAAGGCCACAGTCAGACTTATTTTAGAAGAACACTTATCAAATAAAGTAGGCACCCAAAAGAATACAGTACCTTTTCAACTCACCTTAATACAGCCAACTATCGTAGTTGTAAGAGCAGAATTATACTGAGTGCAAAGCACTGTAGCATACATCAAGATAAACCTGGAAAAAGAAGGACACAGTATCTTATAAGTAAAATCCAATTCTTATTTTATAGTAACCCCTGACCAAGGGACGGAGAAGGCAATGGCACCCCACTCCAGTGCTCTTGCCGGGAAAATCCCATGGACGGAGGAGCTTGGCAGGCTGCAGTCCATGGGGACACAAAGAGTCGGACACGACTGAGCGACTTCACTTTCACTTTTCACTTTCATGCACTGGAGAAGGAAACGGCAACCCACTCCAGTGTTCTTGCCTGGAGAATCCCAGGGACGGCAGAGCCTGGTGGGCTGCCGTCTATGGGGTCGCACATGCAGAGTCAGACACGACTGACGCGACTTAGCAGCAGCAGCAGCCAAGAGAAATGATCAGTGTTGGCCATGCCAGTACATTCTACTAGACACTGGCTGTGAGCTTTCCCAGCTCACTGCTGCTTCTATTGAAGCTTTGGATTTTTTTTTTTTTAATTTCATTAAAGAGAAACACATATCCATTTAATGTTCAGGTGCTTTTCCCAGCTATTGCACCAAAACCTTGAAACCACCATTCACAATCATGAGTCATCTTTTTGGATCATAGTCCTAATTCACCTACCTGAGGTACAAGGCTCAGGGCTTACAGACCCTGGCTCAGGTGTATATGTAACATGAGGGCAATATGATTCTGGACCAGGGTGAAGACAAGAGAGGTACTTTAAGGATGGAAGAAAAACAAGTGAGACCTACTTTAAGAGGGGATATAGTTCACTTAACAACAGTGGCAGTAGTCGGCACTCCCAGATTTTACAATGAGGCTTCGGAGCCTGACTTGGTACCAAGGTACCCTGTCAACTTTATTTTGAAGCATCCAGTCACCATGTAGCAAGCCTGGGCTAGATCCACTCACTAACGTCAACTGAAATGACTGGTTGAGGGGAAAAAAAACCATTAGGGAAATTTGGAGGTGAGGAGAAGAGGCACATTTGCAGATACCCTCTTGCTTTCTTCAACATGGTAGGGAGAAGTCAGTCCTAAATTCAAAAGCTGCTACTGCTGCCTACTAATTCTGCAAACTTAGACAATTTATTTGAATTCTGAGCCTGTTTTCTCAGGCAGTTAGGAGTAGGGAGCAACAATATCTGTCAAATGGGTAATGTAGAAATAAAATTAAATAATCCATGTTGAAATATAATGGTGCTTATCACATACTAGCTTATTGAATAAATATTTAGTTTTTTTCCTTTATCCTTCTAGAAGCATGACTTTGAGATCAGTTTGGTAGCCCTGGGGGTACATTCCCAAGGACGGTGAAACCACTAGAGTCTGGAGGTTTATCCTGAGCAGATACATTCAAGAGACAAGAAAGAGGCAGAAAGACACCAGACTAAATTTCTTTAGGAAAACTATCTGCTAACAAGGCAGCAAAGGCTTACCCCATCACACAAGAGAGGGTGAACTGCAGAAGAAAGAGGGTGTCAGCCCAGCCTTCAAAATCCAATGCCTGTAATAAACAAGAAAGCACCGGATTTTAGAGCAGGCCCTCCAAGTCGGCTGTGTCATTCATTAATGAAAACCCTGTGCAGTTTCTCCCATCACACAGTCATATACATACACTTCCATGCATCACTCCAAGGATAAAGAGTGATGTTCAAGAATCTCATATATATGGAAATGAATCAATTAGCAGTTTTGTATGGTTTTCTCCTTTCCAAAATGTAACATGAGCGAAATTTTATACTTCTCCATGTTGGTACAAAGAAACTGCTATTTGCTTGAAGGCACAAGCCATGTCTTGCTAATTTCAGCAATCTTCCCAGATGGCTGGTATTAAATAACGGCATTCTCAAACGGTAAAACACACTTCTTCCTTGTAATGTGTGAAAGCTCAAGTATAGTCTTAGTTACCTAAATTCAGCTGAGGCCTGTCCAGGAAGAATTACTATTTTAAAACAGTTGATTTTGTAAAAGCAAAGTTTCTGTTGTTCCCCTTTGTTTCTAAGCCAAAAGTCAAAGGAATGACCAGAAACGACAGTGTGCATTGATCATCTATCTGTCACCCGTGAGGGAGGGTTTCTCTCTCAAGTACATAATTTCTCTTGCAATATGAGTTTGTCAGGCAAATCTGAGGAACATTCCACTTTTTAATCTCTCTGCCAACCTGTCCAACTTCAACTCTTGCCACTTCGACACAAATCTCATGGCTCCAGGGCTCCAGCAATACCAGGCTCCTCGTGGTTTATAAAACATAACATGCATTTCACACTCACATGCCTTTGCCTGGAATGCCCTGCCCCTCGACAGTCACCTGACTCCTGCTCACCCATCAAACCAGAAGCCAAGCAGTTCCTCTGTGGAGCGTTCCCGGATCAAGAACCCCTTCCCCTGTGCCTCAGCGCTACTTCTCTTCAGCACTTCTCTCTCTGAACTGCAAGTCTTTCTCCACCAAGTCTACAGGCTGGGAGCTCCCTGGTGGGAGGACCCACTTCACATTAGCTGCATCACAGCATTTGATAGACAGTAGACATTCAACTTGTTTGTGATTCTTTGTTGAGGTGTAACATATAAAAAAAATTAAATTCACCAATTTTTAAGTGTCTAATTCAAAGAGTCTTGACAAATGTCTAGGCATGAAACCACCATTACAATCATGATAAAGAAAGTTCGGCCTAAAACCATAGAACCTAGAGGAAAACGGAGGGGAAAGCACCCTGGCACTGGTCTTGACAACAATTTTCTGGCTATGACACCAAAAGCACAAACAACCAAAGCAAAGCTAAGAGGGACGACACCAAACTAAAAGGCTTCTGCACAGCAAAAGAAACAATCCACAAAATGAGACGGCAACCCATGGGATGGGAAAAAATATTTGCAAACTACGTATCTGATAAGAGGTTAACTGCCAAAGCACACAAGGAACTGATAAAACGCAACAGCAAGAAAAATCCCGAACAACCCAATTAAAAAAGGGGTAAAGGAGTTGAGTAGATACCCCTCCCCAACAAAAAAAGGGTATAAATAGATAACAGGTACATGAAAAGGTGCTCAACATCACTTAAAAAGTGCAAATTAAAACCACAATGAGATAGCACCCCACAACTGTTAGAATAGCTGTCATCAAAAAGACAAGAGATAAGAAGTGCTGACAATCGTGTGGAGAAAAGAGAAGCCTTGTATTGTTGGCAAGAATGTACATTTTACAGTCAGAATGAAACACATACAATGGAGCATTATTTAGCATGAGAAAGGAAATCCTGCATTTTGCAACAACATAAATGGACCTTGAAGGCTTTATGCAAAGTGAGATAGATCAGACGGAGAAAGACATACACAGTTTGATCTCACATGTAAAAATCTAAAAAAGCCAAATGCGCAGAAACAGAGCAGAATGGCAGTTGCCAGGCACTGGCGGGGGAAACAGTGAGATGTTGGTTTTGTAACTTAGAAGATGTGTGTGTTCTAGGGCTCTAATGTGCAAGCACGGTTTTATGGTTAACAATACTATAAAGTTTACATACTTGAAAGTTACTGAGAGAGTAGATCCTAAGTGTTTTCACCACAAAAGAAGAAATGGCAGTTATGTGAAGTGACGGTAGGGTTAACTCATGTTACTGTGGTAATCATTTCCTAATATATAACTATTAAATCAACCACTGTACAACTTAAACTTACACAATATTAAATGTCCACTATATCTCTGAAAGCTGGGAAAAAAACATTTGCCAGCCTAGAAAGGTCCCTCCTGCCCCTTTATAGTCAATCCCTCCCCCATTTACAGCCTCTGGGAACCTCTGATCTCCTATTACTGGAGTTTTGCCATTCAGTAATTTCATATAAATGGCATTGTATAGTGAGCACTCTTTTATAGGTGCCTTCTTTAACTTGACATAATACTTTTGTTTCCTTCAGTAAATGTATCTTTTTATAAGGAAATGTCAAATTGTTTTCCAAAGTAGCTAAAACATTTTGTATTCCCACCAGCACTGTGTCAAGAGTTCCCACTGCTCTACCTTCATTTGGTTTTAAAAAACAAAATAAATGGAACTGGAAAACTTGATACTGTTAACCTGTTTGTTAGGGCTACTGGAGCAAAGTACCACCAACTGAGTGACTTAAAAAACAAAAATCATTTCTTACAGTTTTAAATGCTAGGAGTCCAAGACCAAGGCGTCAGCAGGGTAGGTTCCTTCTGAGTGCCGTGAGGGACAATGCCTCTGCCCTAGATGCTGGTGATCTGCTGGCTATCTGTGGTGTTCCTGAGCTTACTGAGGCATCATTCTGATGTCTGCTTTCATATTTTCATGGCATTCTATGCTACTGTCTGTATCCAGATTTCTTCTTTTTCTAACCACACCAGTGATACTGGATGAGGACATACCCTACTCCACTATCTTCTCATCTTAATGAATTCGATCTGTAATGACCCTACTTAAAAGGCACTGAGGTTCTGGGGGTAGGACTTCAACATGACTCAGGGGAGGAACAACACAATGCAATTCAAAATACATTTCAAGTTAATTTTTGTGTTATTTCCTGAGGTAGGGGTCAGATTCATTTTTCTGCATACAGATGTCAAACTGCTATAGCACCATTTGTTGAAGAGATTATCCTTTCCTCATTGATTTATTCAGGCAACTTCAACAAAAATAACTGACCACATGGTCTATTTCTACTTCTTGATTCTCTGCTCTGTTTCATTGATCTATTATTGTTTCGTAAAGTTTTCAGGGCGCAGATATAGACATATTTTGCTAAACTTTTCCCTGAGTATTTCATACTTTTGAAGCTTTTGTAAATGGTACTATTTAGTTTCCAAAAGTTCACTGCTGGTAAATCACAGTTCAGTCAATTTTTACATGATGACCTTGTTATCTTACATCTTTGTAAACTAGTTAGTACTAATCACTCTTTTCTAGATTCTTTTTTCTCTACATATATGATTATAGTTTTTATAGAGGTATTTTAAATTCTTCCTTTATAATCTCTTATTCTTACTTTCTTGCACTGATGAGGTCTTCTAGTACAATGCTGAATAGAACATTATACAAGAGTGGACATCCCTGCTGTGTTCTCAGTCCTAGAGAAAAGGGACTGAGTCATTCACCACTAAGTACGATAGCAACGCATTATTTTGGTAGATGTCCTTTACTGGATTGAGACAGTTCCTTTCTATTCCAAGTTTGCTGAGAATTTTAAACCCATAAATTGGTGTCACTTTCATCAATACATTTTCTCTAACTATTGACATGTTTCTTCCATTCTTGCTGTTGTTTACTAAGTTGTGTCCGATTCTTGTGACCTCATGAACTGTAGCCTGCCAGCCTTCTCTGTCCATGGGATTTCCCAGGCAAAAATATTGGAGGGGGTTGCTATTTCCTTCTCCATAGAACCTGCATCTCCTGCATTGGCAGGCAGATTCTTTACCACAGAGCTACCAGAGAAGCCTTTCTTCTATTTTACTCTTGCCAATATGACGAATTACACTGATTAATTTTCCAGTTTTAAACTAACCCTAATTCCTGAGATAAACACAACTTGGTCATGAGATAGTGTCCTTTTTATATACTGCTGGATTTTTTTAGACTACAGTTTTTTTCCTCTCCTTATCATTTTTTTTGTCAGCTAGTGGTAGAGGGTATGCTGGCCTCATAAAAAATCATTTGGGAAGTGTTCCTCCTTTTCTACATTCTGGAAGACTTTATGTGGAATTAGCATTGTTTCTTCCTTAAACATTCCAGTGAAGTGATCAAGGCCTGAAGTTTCCTTTTTCAGAAGATTTTAAACTACAAATCCAATTTCTCTAATAAAGATGGGGCTAAATAGCCCTATTAATTAGGACTTTTTATTATTTTAATTAAATCAAGCAAGCTAATTATTTTATAGAGTAAGTAATAGTAAGTAACTATTCATGTTACCTATTTCTTCTTGAGTGAGCTTTCATAGTTTTGTGTTTCAAGAATTTGTATACTTCTCAGTTTTTCAGTTTATGGCATATTGTTCATATAATTCTCTTATCCCTTTAATATGCACAGGCTCTGTAATAATGCCCTTTGTTCATTTCTGATGTTGGTAATTTGTGTATTCTGACTTTATATCCTGATTAATTGGCCAGGGTTTAGCAATTTTATTGATCCTCTCAAAGAACCAGCTTTTACTTATATTGATTTCTCTGCTGCTTTTCTATTTTCTGTTTCACTAATTTCTGCATCCTTCTATTTACTTTGGGTTTAATCTGCTCTTATTTTCTAATTTCTTAAGGGAGATGCTTTAGATCACTGAATTTAAATCTTTCTTGTTTTTAATATATTTTAATTTCTAGTTTAATTCTGTCTTGATCAGTAAACATACTTGGTATGGTTTCAATTCTTTTCAACTACCAAGACTGGTTTTACAGCCCAGAAAGGAGTTTATGTTGGTGCACTGTTCCATGTGCACTTGAAATGAATGAGTATCCTGTTGCTGTTTGACATAAGCACTCTGCAAACACCAATTAGGTTGCGTTGG